TTTTTTTTTTTTTTGAGATGGAGTTTCCCTCTTTTTGCCCAGGCTGGAGTGCAGTGGAGTGATCTTGGCTCACTGCAACCTCTGCCTCCCAGGTTCAAGCAATTCTCCCGTCTCAGCCTCCCAAGTAGCTGGGATTACAGGTGCCTGCCACCACGCCCAGCTAATTTCTGTATTTTCAGTAGAGACGGGTTTCACCATGTTGGCCAGGCTGGTCTTGAACTCCTGACATCAGGTGATCCATCCACCTTGGTCCTCCCAAAGTGCTGGGATTACAGGTGTAAGCCACTGCGCCCAGCCTGATGTTTAAATGTTTTTAAATGTTCCTGCCAGCATTCTTCCTAATGGCACAAAACTGAAAAGAACCTAAATGTTAATCAATAGTAGAGTGGATGCAAAAATTACAGTACAGTCACAGAATGGAATACTAGACAGCAATGGAAAGGAACAACACCACCACCAAGCCAGACACCAGAGAGTACTTATGGTGTGATTCCATTTATATGATGCCCAAAGCCAAGCAGAGCTCATCCATGGAGACGGGGATCAGAGGAATATTTGTCTTTGAAGGGGGCTATTGATATTTTTCTGTCTCCTGATCTGGGTGATGGCTTACTGAGCTATACATTTAAGATTTGTGTGCTTTACTGTGTGTAGGTTATAATGAATTCAGTAGAAAATTAAAATAGATCAACGTGGGCAGATCACCTGCGGTCAGGAGTTCAAGACCAGCCTGGCCAACATGGCAAAACCCCGTCTCTACTAAAAATACAAAAATTAGCTGGGTATGGTGGCAGGTGCCTGTAATCCCAGCTACTCCAGAGGCCAAGGTTGCGGTGAACTGAGGTTGTGCCACTGCACTCTAGCCTGGGTGCCAGAGCGAGGCTCAGTCTCAAAAAATAAAAATAAAATAAAATAGGCCTGGCTCAGTGGTTTATGCCTATAATCCCAGCACTCAGAGGCCAAGGCCAGCTGACCGCTTGAGCTCAGGAGTTCAAGAGCAGCCTGGGCAACATAGAAAGACTCTGTCTCTACAAAAAATTTAAAAATTAGCCAGGTATGGTGGTGACCCTATAGCTACTTGGGAGACTGAGGCAGGAGGACTGCTTGAGCCTGGGAGGTTGAGGCTGCAGTGAGCCATGATCGCGCCACTACACTTCAACGTGGGGGACAGTGAGACCCTATTTCATAATAAATAAGTAATAAATAATTGTAAAATAAAATGATTTGGTCTATACTCCTGACTGAACCTTGATCGGTTCAGAGAGATGGCAAGAGGCAGGCTAGAAAGGCTCACGGGGAGGAGCCAAGCCCAGCAGAGATGTAAGAATGAGATGTTCTGTGACTGCAAAGCAACAGTGCAGAGAAAGAAGACAAGACCACTTAGGGCATTCCAAAGTGTGGTATTGACTCAAGGGACAGAGAAAGTCAATTCTGTACAAGTTGCTTAGTCAATCTAAAAATACAATAAATTTAGGCCTCCCTTGGTAAAACGCTATTGATTTGTTACTGGAACAAAAATAGGAAAAATATCTTAAACTGGTTCTAAGGATCTACATCTATTTGACATATTTTGTCAATGTAAATGTATATATTTTTCTATATTGGAAAGGTTTAAAATGTCTGGAAAGAAGTGCCATTGCAGAGCAATCTCAAGACAATCTCCATTGTAGTTGATTCTATCAAACCTCTGGAATGGGATGAACCCAGTTCTACCACTTGCGCCGTGGCCTTTGATGTGCACTTTGTGTCTCTGAACCTTGGAGTGTTCTCTGTAAAAGGGGATTGGTGTGGGGACAGAAGGATATAATATTGGGCCATGCTAGTAGTATCCAATAGATTTTTGTAGTAAGCATATAATTTAACTTCTTTCCGTGCCTTGAGATTGCTCTGCTTGAGCGCAGTGCCATTGTAAGATCATGCAGCTTCCTCAGAGGGTTTGGTTGTTCTCTTAAGAGGCAAGAGAAATAAGCAAAATGGGAAGTGACCACATTTTTTAAAATCCTAGAAAGTTCATTGAACCATTACTGCTGATGCATTATTTACTTAGCTGTAACTCAGTCCAGTAGGGCTGGCAAGTGCCTGGGATGCTTATTTTCTATCCTGACAACTGACATTGTCAGTCTGGTCTCTCTGTCTGCCCAGCACCACCTCTCTCCCCAGATTCCCATGAGCTGCCCCCAACTTCTATGAGTGGAAGTCCGCCCCAGACGCGGGTGAAGTGCACACTGCATATTTTCATGAGACCATTCTGATTGACTGGAGGTAGGCCAGGCTAAGTGAATGAGAAGTCTCCATTCTGAAATCCACTAAAAAGAAACAAACTTACTCCCTTTAAGCATTTAGGAAGCTCAAGCAACTAAAAGCAAGCTTGCTGTTCATTAATTTCAACTGCTGACCCACTTGAAAAAATCACTGAGAATATGTATGGTAGGGAACTTGCACTCTTAGCAAAAGACCACTGTGAGTTTGCAGGAAACAGAAACAAAGTCCCTGAGAGAAAAAAGGACCAGTCTTAAGTGCCACTACAGGGGAAGGGCCAAACAGAAGAGCATGTGTTATTCTAAGCTCTCTACGATCTCAACTTTTAGCACCAAACTTTCTCTCTGGGATTCAGTCCATTTCTGAACATTTGCCCTGACTTTCATCACCAACTTTGTTCTAACCTTCATGGTTTCTTCAGGCAAGGCTTCTGAAAGGAACTTAAATCCTCATTTGTCATTTTGGGAGGCCACGGCGGGAGGATCTCTAGAGCCCAGGAGTTCAAGACTGTGGTGAGCCATGATGGTACCACTGCACTCCAGCCTGGATGACACAGTGAGACCCTGTCTCAAAAAAAAAAAAAAAAATCAGCTTTTGTAACAAAACAAGGAGAAAATATGGGTTACAGAGTTTGTGAAATAAAACTGTGCAATCTTAAAAGAATGAGCTCAAGGTAAATTTAATAGATGAAGTATTTCATTAGTCAAGCTTATGAGAACGTAATCAGAAATGGAAGGCTACGTGAAAGTGGGTGTTGCAGAGGAAATACGCGAAACCAAAACACACTTGTCTTAATGGTATCTTTGCCACTTTGGATGTTGATCTTATTGCTAAATCTTAACCTCTCCAGTGGCAGCAGAAATGACAGCTGTGCAGTTTTCACGCTCTTCATAGACACAATATGCTAATTTCTTCTTCCTTGCAGTCAGAGTCTGATTCTCTGTCCTATAAGCAGGGATACAGAATCCCCTAGAACGATCATAAACCGACACTAGAGGTTTAGATACAGCAGAAAATGTACAGCAGCAAATTATTTTTCTATCTGTAAATGACAGAACTTAGAATATTTCTGCAGGGTGCAAATTATCCTTTATAGGTTCTGATTTATATTTCATGACAAGGAAGGTGTCCTTAAACCAGGTAGTGGAACATTTTTGCTTTGTCAGCTAAATTTTTCCAGTTCTTACCAAAACCGAAAAGATCTGAGGTTGCTTCTAATAATGTTATACTTTTGGAAAACCAAAAGTAGCATTCACTAAATGAAAAATTCATTCATTAAGGTGTATTTACCACATAGAAAAAGAAGAACTATACAATCTCATGCTAAGAAAAGCAAGCATTTTCCAGCCCTGTTTTAAAAAGAATGTCAAAAATGTCACAGAGGTGACGCCTGCATAGGGCAAGGGAGGATTAGATGAGGGACTGACAAACTATAGCCTGCAAGGAAATCCTGCTCACTGCCTGCTTTTGTACAGCACTGGAGCTTACAATTACGTTTTGAAATGTTTTGGGGAAAAAATTGAAGATTATTTTGTGACATGTCAAAATCATGTTAAATTTGAATTTCAGTGCATATAAAGGTGGTTTTGGCCAGGCACGGTGGCTCATGCCTGTAATCCCAACACTTTGGGAGGCCGAGGCAGGCAGATCACGAGGTCAAGAGATCGAGACCATCTTGGCTAACACGGTCAAACCTTGTCTCTACTAAAAACACAAAAAATTAGCCGGGCGTGGTGGCGGGTGCCTATGGTCCCAGTTACTTGGGAGGCTGAGGCAGGAGAGTGGCGTGAACCCAGCAGGCGGAGCTTGCAGAGAGCCGAGATTGTGCCACTGCACTCCAGCCAGGGCGACAGAGTGAGACTCTGTCTCAAAAAAAAAAAAAAAAAGAGAAGGTTTTATGAGCATATAGATTCACTCATTTGTTTATGTGTATCTATGGCTGCTTTTGTGTGCTACTGCAGAGCTGAATAGCTGCTAGATCCCATATGGCTGGCAAAACCTAAAGTATTTACTCTCAGGATCTTTTTTTCTTATTTTTTTGAGACAGGTTTTCACTGTCACCCAGGCCGGAATGTAGTAGTGAAATCACAGCTCACTGCAGCCTCAAACTCCTGAGCTTGCAAGTGATCCTCCTGCCTCAACCTCCCAAATCACTGATACTACCAAGTACGCCACCACTCCCAGCTAATTTTTATTTATTTTTTCTTTTTTTGTAGAGATGGGGTCTTGCTATGTTGCCCAGGCTTGTCTGGAACTCCTGGTCTCCAGCGATCCTCCCGCCTTGGCCTCCCAAAGTGCTGGCATTACAGGGGTGAGCCATGAGCCCAGCCAGTCTCTGATTTTTACTGAAAAAAAAGCTTGCCAATCTTTAGGCTGGGTGATATCTGAGGTCCCTTTCAGTTCCAAAGTTCTAAGAATTTCACTTCCAGAGATAAGCAGGAATCTGCCATCAAACACAATACAGGGAACACCCATTAGCCTCATAATATAATGATTCCAAAAGAACTGTTTCTTTTGTGTTGTCAACATTTCCCATGAAACCTGTAAAATAATACTCACTGACTCACAGAACATTCACGTAAGCTTCCCAGATATTGATTACTTTGAAAAGCAGGCTCTTGGTTCTAGAAAGCAATATTCATAATTTTTAGAAATTTTATTCTATTAACAGGTTGACTAGACCATCTGAAAACTTACCAAGTACAATGAAAATGAAAAAAGAAACCCAACTCCCCTAGGAATTCACATCATAAAATATTTATTAATAAGTAAAATGATTTTCCCCTGCCTTTGGCTATTAAAAAATGAGTATCTTTGATGATACCAGTTGCCAACAATGGTTTTACATTATTCAGTCATGAAACAGACAGAATAGAAAGATGATCGATAGATATCTATAGATATAAATGTGTAGAAGACCACACCATACAACGATTTGTTTAATTACAAAATCTTGCACATCCTTAAAGTTATCTTTTTTTAATAATAAACAACACACAAATAAATTCACTTGAATTTGATAATTTGGAACCTTGGCAATGAATACAGTGCCTGTTGAGGCCTGAAAGAGAGACGAAATCAAGAACTGTGTGGGAGAAGAAAGGCAATACTTCTTTGAAAAGCTTTTCTCTTGACTTAATAGTCCCTATTGCCCGAAAAATAAGCCATTTTGATAACAAGAGTATAAAAAGCCTTATGATCTGCAAAGTAAACCATCTCTGTGGTTTAAATTTCATCCCAAGTCTCAGGTTATGACTAAGGAGCTATACTAAGTATCTTTGTAACACATTTCTTTGAATTTTTATAACTAAAACAAGAAAATGTTTTATCAGATCTAGGCAGAAATACTGATCCTCATTTATAAGTATAGTAATTACTTGCACTCAGGACTATATAGACACGGGGATCTGAAAACCAAACAGAAGGAAATCCCAAACCGTAACCACAAGGCAAAATTAAAAGTAACTCAGAGAAGCAGCGGGTGACAGCTTCTGATTTCAATACAAAAAAGAGTGCATTACCTCTCAGATGTCACCTTAAAGCCAGAAAATTAAGATACAATCAAGAAGGGGGTGAACAGTTTTAATACTACACCACCTACTACTTCAAGATTAAAATCATCCCAGAGTTCTGAAATGTCTTCATTAGTTAAGTAACTATACAATTTATTTCAGTCTCTTTTTAATGTAGAAAATCACTTTGTAATAAGATCTCTACACAAGGTAAAAAAGCACAAAAATAGGCCCCAAAAGCACAAAAATAGACAAAATGTATATCTTTTTACAATGAAATGAAGGTGTGCCTGTGGAATACTGAGGCTGATGACCGATCTCACAGAGTTCAAACAGATTTCCTTTTAGAATAGTCCTGTTATTTGTGTCTTCCCCTTAACCTTGGATGCATTTAAAAAATAAAAATAAAAAAATAAAATAATGGCTCAGGCTGGGGGCAGTGGCTCACGCCTGTAATCCCAGCACTTTGGGAGGCTGAGACAGGCAGATCGCTTGAGGTCAGGAGTGTGAGACCAGCCTAGCCAACATGGTGAAACCCCATCTCTACAAAAAATACAAAAAATTAGCCGTGTGGGCAGGCACCTGTAATCCCAGCCACTTGGGAGGCTGAGGCAGGAGAACTGCTTGAATCCAGGAGGCTGAAGCTGCAGTGAGCCGAGATAGCACCACTGCACTCCAGTCTGGGCGACAGAGCAAGACCCTGTCTCATTAAAAAAAAAAAAAAAGGCCCAGGTAAAAGGGAGATAACAGGCATTTTGATCTTGTGCACTCAACAAAAAAGAAATAATAACAACATAATAAAAACCCTTAATTTATCAGTTTATAAAATTCTTTCCCCAACCATATCTCAAGGGGACTTGGGACTCAAGCATTTGTTACCCGCCCATCAGCAACATCACAGGCAACTCCAGCTGAGGCCGGTTTCCCATCATAAACCAACGATACCCTGGGTGACACATACCCAGAAATGCTCATTTGGAGATGTTTTCATACAGTCTGGGGGTAAATGAAGCCATCCAAAGGAACCGTGCCATAAATACCACCGACATGTGCGGATGTCCACCTGGAGAACCCACCCCTTCCTTCCTCTCCCTTCAGTAAAGGAACCCGCCAGTGACTCTGGGTTATACAGTCACCGCTGGGTACATCTTCTGTTCACTGTTGGTGTGAGGGAAGGGGGACTGAATCTGCCTGTAGCCAGGCTGCAGGCCGTCCATGAAAGGTGGCACAGCAGTCATGGGCACAGAGTCGTGCTGCACCGTGTACCCCACGTATGGGGGATGCAGATACTGCCCTTGATGTGGCACAATCTGGGTGGCCTGCTGACAGTTCAGCACAGAGAAATTCGTGGGCATGTTGACATACACATTGTTCATGGTCCCTTCCGGCAAGCAACAGTTGGTCTGTGACCTTGTCGGCGGTGCCCGGGCCCCCGAGTTGGCGCTGGAGCTGGAACTGGCAGCTGTGCTGGACTGGCGTGAGGATGACCCCCGGGAGGTGCTGGCACTGGGGATCATGGGGATGGTCTCCATCAAGCGGTTACCCCCTGGGGCTCGGCTCTGTTGGGGATCCTGCTTAGGCCGGAGACATCTGCAGCAACAGGCTGCCACCAGGGACCCCAAGATGATAAAGGCGACAAACACAGAGCCAACGATGAGGAACGGCACGTAGATAGGCACTGAAGCAAAGGACAGAAACACAACATTATGATTTACTCTAGGAATGCAGTACCAATCGCCGACTGGCAATGGCAATGAATGAATGAGCAACACCGATACCCACAGCTGAAGGGCCGACACTGGGCTAATCTGTTCACATATTAGGAGTCTGTAAGATGCACCATTCTTTATCAAGCGTTTAGAAAGATCCTGAGACCCTACAGGCATGACAGTTCAGCCCCTAGAAGCAAACTGTTTATATTTAGTTCAACTCATCAACTGCAAGACTGATTGAGCCAGATATCCAATTTGGCAAAAATATGGGTTTAATAGGTTAAGACAGTTATGGTTCTAAACTTCCTACCATAATCGAACTGTCCGAACAAGTCTGCCCTACTATATTGTTGTAGGATCGTCATAGTAATAATGACTTTAACTTATTTAAAAGTCTTTTTTCCCCCAGAAAGTTAAGGTCCTTGCAAATTTCTTTTGACCATTCTTTAGCAAGTTCTTTTTTCATAAGCAGTTAAGTCAAAAATTTAGGCCAGACTGTAAGTCACTACCATTTCCAAAAGGCATCTGTACAGCACAAGAGGGTCAAGGAAGGGCTGAAAAAAGACCCTCCTCACTCTTCCCTAGCAAAAGCCAGGGTCCTTGGGTAGCATTGGGTCCAGGTGACGGGGTCTGTGGAGGTGGCGGGAAGTTATTCCAGGCATTGGGCCATCCTGAAACAGTGCCCCAAGAGCAAACATCAGGAGCAACAAGACACGTGTTGCAGGAAGAAGAGTCACCCATGGCGAGCCAAGAAGGCAAGAGTGCACAGGGAAAGCCCTCAGAGCATAAAGCAACAGCCATGATACTTCACCAGGGAAGCTGAATTTAAAATAGAAAACAATAAAAAGTAAAAATAAAAACCTTTTGATAAAACCACTAGCAAACTCCATTTTAAAATTAGTTTCTGGCGGGGCACGGTGGCTCATGCCTGTAATCCTAGCACTTGGGGAGGCCAAGGTGGGTGGATCACCTGAGATCAGGAGTTCCAAGACCAGCCTGGCCAACGTGGTGAAACCCCATCTCTACTAAAACCACAAAAATTAGCTGGGTGTGGTGACGCGCACCTGTAATCCCAGCTACTCTGGAGGCTGAGGCAGAAGAATCACTTGGACCCAGGAGGCAGAGGTTGCAGTAAGCGGAGACTGTGCCACTGTACTCCAGCCTGGGCGACAGAGTAAGATTCCAACTCAAATAAATAAATAAATAAAATTAGTTTCTTAAAAAAATCTTTTAGGAGCCATAGGGATGGCACTACAAGGCTTTAGAAACTAGATGCAGGTTGATGGGGTAGAATCAGACGGGAGGTACCTGCAGAATGCCTCTGAGCCACTTTCGTGGAATTCTACCCTATGTTACCGACAGCCTGCATTTTCTGATGTGCTCTTGCCCCATCCCCCTGACTATATTTTTGGGAAATACATGAGGACAGGGATGCATTGGGTCTTACTGGTCTTGGCAAAGCATAATGCCAGCCCACAGTCAGATGGGGCAGCATTTTCGGAAGGAGCCCGCGCCTTTGAGGTCAGCTCTATGAATACCCTTTGATTATCCATGAGAGCAGCCAGGCTTTCTAATTATGCTCCTTTTGACTGTTCTGGTATTCCTGGAGTCAGTGTTTTTAAAGTATAACACCAGGTGGAATTACGGAGAAATAATGCTTTGTAAGTAAAACAATACTTTATAGGTATTTAACCAAAGGCTGACTGTGGAAGATTTCCTGGAGTTTCAATGCTAAACAGAGCAGTTTCTATATATGGCGCCCGTTTAGCAGGTAGAAACACTTGCCACAGTGTCTGCAGCACAGCTGGTGCCTGGCAGTAGACCTGTTCTCATTACACTATCACTTCAGGCCAACTATGGATCACTGGAGAAGTGGATGCAGGCCTTTTTCCTTGGCGTGTTATAAATATTTCATTCTCTAAATTGAGACACCAGCCCTAAATATGTTATCAAAAAATAATAAGAGAAAAACAGGGAAAAAATGTACCCCAGTCATAGCAGAAACTGGCTGAAACCAGCCTCAGTCCACATAATGAGTTTTGGGGAGAAATAACTGTTCTCTTTCCAGGATTTTTAATTGGAAATGTAAATAACTACACAGGGGTAAGGAATGCGGCGCTACCATAAGCCCCCGGCAGGCTTAATGAGGCGTGTTGTCCTTCACTGCAGAAGAGAAGTGGAAGAAATACAATTTTTAGGGAAAAAACGTTTAAAAGTAGCGTGAAGAAGGCACCCACACACAACACAGGGCGTCATAAGTCTCGTCATGAGAAGTCCCCACTAGTCCAAAGCCATCCCAACTTTTTGGAAACCATTAATGAGCCCAATTCAGCAGACCTCTGACTGTAGCTGTTTGGGGTCTGGCTCGCTTCTCCGGGCTGTCATCCATCCATGGCCACACAGTCTGCGAGGCTGAGCCTGCGTTTTAAGACTGCGCTGGTTCTGGAATTACACGCTCTTCAGATTCAAGACAGAACAATAGGAGTAGCATGCTAATAAAACGCTTGACTGCAAAAGGGAACGGCACTGAAAAGAGCTGTCTCTCACCGGGTCCTGGGAGGCAGCTCTATAAACACAAACCACGCTGTGCCAAAGCTCAGGCGGCCCGAACCCAGGCTCCGGGTGGTAGCGAAGTCTCCCAGGTACACCCAACGGGCCCACAAAAAGGAGGAGCCGCCCCCTCGGGGATACGTTTGCCATTTTACCTCCCCTCCCCCGAACGAGAGAGAGAGAGAGAGAGAGAGAGAGAGAGAGAGAGAGAGAGGAGAGAGAGGAGAGAGAGGAGAAAAGAGAGAAGAGAGAAGAGAGAGACTGGTGTAGACACCACCCCAGGGAGGCATTCCGGAAGGTTTCTCAAGAATGAAGTGCAACCTACCAAATTCTTTAACGGGTTTACTTTCCAAGTCTGGCTTTGGCAATTTGGAAAAAAAAAAAAAAAATCAAAGCCACAAAGAGCAAGGCTGGGCACTGCTCCGATGGATTACACCTACTAAGTCTGACGTGGTAAGGAAAACAGTCCAGAAACCCCAGAGGCGGGCCGCTGCAGGGGAGAGGGGCCGCCGCGTGGAGAAGATGGGAATCCGCGGGGTCTGGCACAGGGCAGCAGCCCCGGGGAAAGCTCTGAGGAGCTGCCTTCTTTTCGGGGAGCCTTCCGGGAAGGATGTCTGCCAGGCCCTCACGTGGGGGGCGCACCCTCACCGTCTTCTCGGGTACCCCTGAGACATGGAGCCCTATGGAGACAGGAGACGCCAGAGGGGCCCGGAGGACCCTGGTCGGAAGGAATATGGGGGCTATCTGTGGCCCACACTGCCTTAGGAGTGTGATTTTCTTCGGAAAATTCACTCTAAGCCACCCTTTGGCTGACAGATGGAGAAACTGAGGCCCGTGGGGGTGAATTAGTGACTCACATCGACCAAGTAATAAGCCAGACTGCAGACTCCGCCTCCTGGTCCCAGGTCCTTTCCTGAATCTCCCCCTCCAAGCTCCCAGGTCCCTGAAGTCCAGGCAACGCCAACCGTCCTCCCTTTCGCGCTGGGCGCAGCCCGCCCTACCTGCCGAGCCGTCGGGGCCGTCTTTGTCCGCCCTGCCAGGCTCGCCGGCGCCCTGCTGGCGGTCGTTGTCGCAGCCGCCCTGGTCCAGGCGCGCCTCGGCGCTGGAGCAGCAGTAGCGCAACGCGCAGCTGCCGCAGCAGATGGTGGCGTCGCCGCCGTCGAAGCGCTCGGGACACTGGAAGCCGATGCGCCAGACGCCCTGCGCGTCCAGCCAGCCGTGGCAGTACTCGCCGCTGGCCCTCGCCCCCGCCGCCAACAGCGCGGCCAGCAGCAGCTGCAGGAGCGAAGCGGCGTTCCGGGAGGAGGCGACGGATGAGCGGCGACCGCCCCACATGGCACCACCCTGGCGCGGGCGGCGCGTCTCCAGAGAGCGCAGGGCGGTCTCCGAGAAGTCGTGGCCCCGGCGATCCCCGGGCCTCGTCGCTGACTGTCCCGCGGCGCTTTCCGCGCGGGCCACTCCCCTCTGCCGCGACGCCCAGGAGGCGACGACGCCGGGCCCTGGGTCCAGGAGCTCCTAAGCCATCCCCCTCCTCAGCCGGTGGCCCGGTCCCCTTAGGGGCTGCCTTATGAGTTGCACTCGCTGATGGAAATCTCAGGATGCAGTAAGAAGGCCCCCGGGACTGTCGTCCCGAAGCCTCTGGAGGCTTCACCGGCAACCGGACCCTCCCTGAGCATCCCCGAAGGGACGCTCACTCTAGCCGGATGACCGCTGGGCGCGCCGCCACGGACCTGGAGCCAGGGCTCCGCCGCAGGGTTTAAGCCTCAGGGTCCTGCGCGCGAATCGGGGCCCGCGTCCCCTCCTTTATCCCCTCCTCGGGCGGGTAGAAGGAGCGAAGGCGGGCAGTGCGCGCAAGACTCTGGGCAGCAAGTGAGGCAGCCGGCCGCGCTCAGCCTCCTCTGCCCCGAACTTGGTCCGCATGGCTCCGGCCGGGCCGCCCGGGGAGCCCTCAGGGGTGCAGCCCCGACGCTCCACTCGGGGGGGCCGACGGCCAATCCTCCCAGCACGTCGCCGAGGGAGCGCTCCCGATCCCGGGAACGTCCAGGACGAGGCGAGGGTCCGGCGCGCCCCAAGCCGCAGTCCTCGGAGCCTGCCCGGCTGGCGGCGGCCGCGGCTGCTGCTGGGGGCGGATCCAGCCGGGCGGCTCGCCCGGGTTCCCCTTCTCCGCCTCCCCGGCTGCAGCGCGGTCCCACAGGAGCCCGGCAGCCTCCGGCCGGCGCTCTCTCTCCCGGTCGCTGCTTCGCCCTCGGGAGGTGCGCACCGATGGAAGCCTCCCACGGAAGTTTCGTTCCTCTGGGCTACGGGAGAAGCCGAGCGCTGCAGCCGCCCGCAACCTCGCTTCGCCCGGCGCCAGGCCAACTCCGACTCCGCTAGCTGCGCGCTGAGCTGCGCTTTTATAGAAGCCGGCAGCTCCCCGCTCCCCGGCGCGCATGCGCGATGCGCGGCTCCCCGCCGCCCCCGAACTCCCGCCGGCGCCGGGCAGACCCTCACTTTCCCACCCGCGCGAGGAGAAAGGTGTGGCCGTGGGCGGGGTCTGCCTGCTGGAATAGGCGCGGGAGGAAACGCAACCTAAGCAATCCAGGCCTCGCTAACACAAATAACAACAATAATGGAAGAAACCCAATTTGCTTTGTGAAGATCTTTGGCATTCAACATTCGGTTCGTTTCTGCAAACTTCTCAAGGGATTACGATTACTGTCCACTCTACAGATCGTGAAATCGCCGCTCAGATGAACTCTCTCGGCTTCCAGCAGCCGATGTCCCGGCCACGGTTGGTCCCAGGCCCTCTGCAGGAAGAGCTCCGATGTTTGTGGCTCACTCACACGCCTGGGGCTGTGTCTGGTGGGCTGGAGGCCTCCGCCACAAGGTGGAACGGAGAGAGTTCCGCAAAGATGTCACACATTCGGCCACGGTCTGGATGACCTGTGTCCCTTTTTCTTTCTATATTTGGGTGTGGTGATTTATCGGAGTCCAGCAGGAAAGTGCCTCCGTCCAACATGTGGCCTTAGTGGTTGAGACAGCTGCAGTCAGGAAGAAAACAAGGTTCAGACAGACCAGAAATTCAGCTTTGATGAAGGAGAAATTAATAGCTTCTCTCTTCCAGAAGCTGGAACAACAGGTGCTGATGTTATTAAAGCAGCAGTGATTATTTTTAAAGGAACGAATGCCCCTTCTCACACCGTCTGGGAGTCAGCAGACCTGACTTCTAGACCCAGCTCTACTAGTAGAGAATCACTGAGTTTTTCTGGTCTCAGTTTCTTCATCTATAAAGTGGAGCATAGGACGTGATGATCATGAAGGTCCCTTCCAAGTTCATGACTTCAGAACACAGGCAATTTTATTTACAGCAAAGACACTCAGATTCGAGCAGCCGTTGGATGCTTGTGTGTTCTGGTTAATGTGAAGATTCAGACATTGTTGATTATTCTTCCACTTGTCCCAACAATGTCAAATCCAAGAAAAAACCCTACCCTATGTCCCAGCTCCCCAACACACACCTTATTCTTTTCACTAAACCTCTCTCCAAGCATTGCACTTTGTTTTCTTGCAGTTTTTTGGTTGTGTATCATTTTTAGCTACACAGAATTATGTATTTTAAATGCACTATTCACCAAATTTCTTCAGCTAGTAAGCTAAAAAAATTTCAATATCAAGAAATCATTCATTCAAGAAATACGTGCCATGCACTTACAGTGTACTGTGTTCTGTGCTGGTTACTGGGACTCATCAAGAAGCCAGACAGCATGGCCATTTCCTTCAAATGGGGCCTAAAGTCTCCTGGGTAAAACACAGAAATCAGACAAAAAGACAAAGAACTGAATAAGCAAAGAGAATGCAAGTATGATCAAAGCTCTCACCCACAATGAACAGCATCAATTTAAGCACATAATCTAGGTTAGGGTGGGGAAGGAGGTCAGAAAAATCATCAAAGGAATAACACTTAAAATGAGACCAGAAGAAGTCAAAGTAAGACTGAGTTTTTCAGAATGAGTCGTTTTCTTAGAAGATACCATTAGCCAACATTTATTGAGAGCTTACTATGAGCCAGGCACCATGCTAAGAATTTCACGGGCATGGTTTCATTTAATCCTCACAGCAGCCCCATGAATAAGACAGTATTACCATCCTCATTTTACTGGTGAGGATACTTGCTCAATCCCTAAAGATAGAGAGTGTTAGTTTGCCTGGACTGTACCCAATTTCTCCTGACTCCTAAACCCACCCACCGCACTGCTGGTCACCACAGCCTCCATTACAGAAAGCCCAGGACTGATTAACTGGGAGTTCTGTACAGACCATGACATGGTTAGGTATCATCTTTCTATGGCAGCACGAGTTGATTTGGGTGGTGTTCAGAGGGTGAATACTTTCAGTTTTGCCATTTGGAAAAACAATTAATGCAAGAGAATTGTACTTATTGTACTATTTAGAATTGTATAATTTCAGACAGTACCTATGCCATAACCTCCTTCCACGATCCACTGATCCTATTCACCAAAACATCCACAATTCGTTAGAATTTATTTATGAAGAAAAAAATTGTTTAACATTTCATATTGGAATTGATTTGGTGACTGGATACTGCCACCTTTAAAACACAAAGTTTTTCCCAAATAGTCTACAATTTAATCTATAATTGGTGAACTTAGAAGTATGGTGCTCTAAGCAAATTCGTCTTCTTCTTTTTTTTTTTTTTTTTTTTTTTTTACTGTGTTTCCTTTCTTCCTTAACAGTTAAGGGGAGGCCCTTTCACGGTTACTTTATGTAGTGGTTGACTATCTTCAATGCTGAAAGGTCGTTTATGTCACTTTGTCTCTTTTGTATTATCGTTTCTTTGTGTATCTGGAATGCTGTACTGAAATTTTATAAAATAACTTGCCAAGGATTTAGTGAGGTTCTGCATGGGAGGTGCTACTGGGAGATATTAAAATAGTCTTGTTCCTTCCGTAGGAAATAAAAAAAATCCCTCATTGGTCTTAAAAGACAACCAAAACTATTTTACTCGTTTCTTCTGAGAAACTATAACTAGTAATTACAACATAAAGGTAGTAGTAATCATAATTTATGATAATCAAAATGAAATGTCAGGCAGTCTGCCAAAATATATTTAAAAACATATGAAAGAGTGCCACCCCCTTTTTTAAAAAGTTGAATTCTATAGACACTAACTGAAAAAGTATATTTTCAAGTTATTTTACCTTTCAGTATGTGCCTGTGTGTGTGTATATATAGGTATATATATATATATATAAATAAAATCCAATTGATTTAAAAGCAAACTTCTGACACATCTCACTAGTACAAATAGCAAGTCACGTAACTAAAGAAATGATTACTGACGACTTTACTAACTAGAGTTGATACAAATCAGATGGAGGTAATCACATTTCATTTGGCTGGCAGTTCTAAAAGCTGCAAGATCTACAGTGCTTTTCTGCAAGTTTCAGCAAGAGCAGAAGGTTCTTACCATCTGCACACCCGTCAGCAGTCTGTTTAGGGAGAATGGCTTTCACTAGGTTCATTCATCTTTTTCTCCTCTTCTCTCGTAAATAGAAATAGTATTGAAAATTTGGCATTTGGTTTACCAAAAGTTCTTTTAAAGTGTTTTTGTTAAAACCCAAACAAATGTGTTAATTTACATTTATTTTAATTTTGTCTTCTGATTACCTAAACTCATCTAAAAATAAAAATGTTCATAAATTTGTGAAAAAATTGTTCTTGCTTTAAAATTTTTAATTTTTCACCCTCCTTATTTTTCTTGTAATTGACATGCTGACTTCCAGAAAAGTAATTTCCATACTTTCAATTATATTTCTTCTCATTTGTCATTATAAACTATTGACATAGTTCTCTCTCATCCCACCTCCTTACTCCATTGTTTTACTGAACCCCCTTTAATTTTTGATTTTGAGGTTTACTGTGGATACATTTTCATTTTGGAGATATGGAGTTTCATGGAGGGCTTATTTCACTAATGCCTTCATATCTAAAAGAATGGCATAAGGGAAAGCAAAATGTGTGAAGATTTGCAAATCATATATATGAAAAGAATCTAGTATCCAGAATATAAGAGAACTCTTACAACCCAGAACAAAAAGGCAACCCAACCAAAAAAACTAGCTTGAATAAACATTTCTCCAAATAAGATCTACAAAAGGCCAATAAGCACATGAAAACACCTCCAAAATCATTAATCATTAGAGAAATGCAAATCAAAACCACAAGATACCACTTTACTTTCACTAGGATGGCAATAATAGTAATGATGATGATAATGGGAAATAATGTTGGTAAGGTTGTGGGGAAATCAGATTCCTTGAACGCTGTCGTTGATGGGAATGTAAAACGGTTCAGCCACGTGCAAAACAGCTTGACAGTTCCTCCAAAAGTCAGACAGAATAACCATATGACCCTGCAGGTCCACTCCTAGGTAACCCCAAAGAGATGAAAACATATGTAGAGACAAAAACTTCTATATAAAT